TAAACTCAGTTGTCAGATAGTAACATGCTTTAACCATTTGCTTGATTTTGTTAGAACTTCAGTTACTTGTATAGTAACTGAGTTTCTGAGTCAATTTGACACTGATCACAAACAATGTTGAAAAAAATATAAATCCTATTAGACAACTAGCAGGAATGCACGTTTGTAGCATGTAAACATAAATTTTATTTATGTTTTATATAATAATGTTGGCGACTGACAGTTTTGGTCACCATATGCAACGAAAGCGAATAGAGACTGCGTCTGTCAGATCCAAACAAACACTCTCTAACGTATCCTTTTGTTCTACACGGAAGAAATAAAGTCAAACGGGTTTTGAAACAACAACAGTGCGAGTAACTTAAATGATAAAGGGACTTTCGTTTTTGGGCGAACTGTCCCCTTAAATATGTCTTTCGCGCTATTAAAATAGACCGCTGTGTTTAATTCCCTTGAGCTCCGTCGCGCTGTTTACAAACGCAAGAACGCATCCCGTGTGGCTGCCCCTTTAAAACGCCGTTCTAATATTCATATGAGTCCATTCACATAATGCATGAAAAATACATTCGCCCACCTGTTTAAATTCACCGTCAACTCCGTTCCGAGCACATATGTCGTCCTTGTCGTTTTCTCGGTGTCAATTGTAAATGATCGTCGGGGCACCATGATTTGCAAAGATGCGTCTTCCTTTCAAAGTGACTTTGACAATTTCGTTTAACCCTTTATGTACTTGAGATGTCACCGTGCCAGAAAGCCTATTGGTTGACCGAATGCAGGTGGATGGATGTCTAGGCAGGTGGGAAGACTTCAGCTGACTGGAAACGCCCACAGCTCAGTATGCGGCATAGCGACTGACGCTAGAGGGCGCTGTTAACGCCAGCGCGACTGAACTCATTTGTCCCAGTATTACACCGGCGTGTTGCCTCAGGATAACAAACCGTTTTCTTCAATTTGCAAGCACATGATGCAAATACGATGACAGTCAATTGTTGGCGAGGGGATGGCTTTGAATAAACCAATAAAAAGCTATTTATTTGTGATTTTTATATCTTTTTCTTTCATGGTGCACCGTGTGGAGGCTGCACATATTTTGTTCTGAAGAACTGCCTTCAGTCAAGCCATTATTTTTCACCCATTCAAAATATAATTCAGATTTGTTAGTGAGTACACTTAATTTTATTACATTTAGAGCCATTTAAATTATTTCTGTGCTATGGAGGATTTAAATGCTAAGCTTATTGGTTTGTTGTCTAGAAGCAACATTTTATAGTCTGTTTACAGTGGAGTTAAAGGGATAGTTCACCCAAAAATGAAAAATTAGCCGTCGTACCTACAATGACTGTGCACTGTGTAAACAATGAGTGACGTATACGCACGAGAGATCATGTCCGGCGCTTACGTAAACTACGCCAGAGCACGTACACACCTCACGCACCGGATACCGTGCGCGCACCCAAAGACAGTTGGACATAGTGGTGTATTAGAGGTAAAAAATTATACAAATACTGTTCGGTTTCTGGCACAAACCGATCGTTTCGTGTCTTAGGACATCAATGTGTCGTCACGAGCCGCAGGGTTTAATTTGGATTTGTCTGTGCATGTTTTTTTTACTCTCATAGATTTTGTTACCATTGCCATGCATTATACGACTGATAGACTGTAACGGTTAAAGTTAAAAATCATCATATCTTCTACTGAAGAAACAAAGTCACCTACATCTTGGATGCCCTGGGGGTAAGCAGATAAACATCAAATTTTCATTTTTGGGTGAACTATCCCTTTAATATTGCACAAATGTTTTTGTAATATCCATTATTACCCATGATCTTTTTTTTCATGATCTCTTTTAGTATTTACTTAACATTTAAGTTAGACTAATATTAATTAGCGCTGATCTTTGCTGTTTTTGTTTTTAGAATTTTTAGTATCATGACAAAATGTAGTCAAATATTTATTTTCATTGTTCAGTTTTCACACAATGCTTGCAATAAGTACATAAATAAATAAAATATACTCCTCTAATATTATTTTCATTTTTTGATTTTATTAATGAGTTCAATTTAATGCAAAGATAAGTTAATCAAACATTTTAAACACAGTTGAGGGTTACTTTTAAAGTAACTATAGGTGCTTTGTTCTCATGAATATGATATGGAAATGATAATTAAAGTCTTTTAATTAAAAAAATGCATTTAATGTTTACAGTTAGCACACAATTTGTATCTTTTATACAGTTCCTCAATTCATGCAACGTGCAATTGTTTTTAAGAACACAGTGAAGGAAAACAATGGATTATAATATTGTCACATTACCTACCGGTCTACAATCACCTTAAGTTCCGTACTAACGACATGCACAATTTGTGTGGGTACATTGATTTCCAGTCGACAGGTCCGCTGAAACATGTTTGTCATGTCTGACCACTTCTTTCTTTTTCGCAGACTCCGAGGTAAGCTGACTGACCGTGTTTGCTCCTGCGACTTCCACGTCTAAAGGTCTCAAATAACCTGTTTTCTCCCCTGAGAAATAGGGGTGGATGATGCAGCAGAAGAGAAAAGACAAGTTCTCACCTGTTCAAAGCTACATATTTCAAGAATTTTCCTAGAAAATCAGATTAAGCAAGGCAGTTATTGACTAACAATGCCTAAAGAATTATTGAGTAGCTCAGTAAAAATGTAGACATGGTTTACAGAGATGTTTTTTATTGGACCTCATATGTCTCTTATACCTTTACCAAGACACCATTTATGAGGCCTCATCATTTGGTTTTCTTTACTTCAGCAAATAATCTTTTAAATAATATATTTTTCTCACACACACACACACACACAAACGCGCACACACACACACACACACACACACACACACACACACACACACACACACACTCTCTCTTTTACAAACAAACTCTTTTATTATCTGCATCAATAATCATACAACATTAACCTGCCTGGGCAAATCTGGTATGACAAGTTTACCATGCAGGCTTCATTTCTGCAAGCATAATGTATGAAAATGTGTAAATCAGTCTGTTTTTTTACACGATGGAAGCTAATTTAAAACATGCTTCAGCTAAAAATGTCTTTTATCATTTTTATTTCATGCTTATTTGATTCTTTTTTAATGCAGCTGCTTTCATATTGACCAGTAAATGTAATATAGCGTCTTACACAATATAATGCAACAGCTGTAATATTCTAAATACAATACAAAGATCATAGTAAATGCATATGTCAAATGGATCTTAGATCATTTAGATAATTTAGTTGTTATATCATTGGGCACAACAATATATTACTGATGTCAACATGCTGGCCTAGTTTAAAATGTCTCATCTCACTATAGTGTCTAATTTATACTTTGAGTTACATTGAGAGTGTAGTCAGAGAACTGGCCCTTAGCACATACATACGAGTTAGATCATTTCAGTCTTACACATCAATAAGTATTTTGCATAACTTCACATTTGAAACTATGTTGCTGTGGGAACCACTCTTGGAAAGGAAACAATCACATGCACTGTTGTTTAAAATGATTTAGTCTGAGAAAAATAACATTTTTAAATTTTCTGACAAAAATAAATTTTAATCATATCATGAAGATTACCATTGTGTCAGGCTGAAAGATGATGACAGTTCTGTGCAAAGCAAAATTCCTGTTCAAACAGATATTTAATGAACTCAAAATATGATTTATTTACATTTTTATAGAATGCAAAGCAGAGTTTGATCTCTTTAAAGGGATAGTTCATCCAAAAATGAAAATTTGATGTTTATCTGCTTACCCCCAGGGCATCCAAGATGTAGGTGACTTTGTTTCTTCAGTAGAACACAAATTATGATTTTTAAGTCCAGCCGTTGCAGTCTATCAATCGTATAATGCATGGCAATGGTAACAAAATCTATGAGAGTAAAAAAAACATGCACAGACAAATCCAAATTAAACCCTGCGGCTCATGACGACACATTGATGTCCTAAGACACGAAACGATCGGTTTGTGCCAGAAACCGAACAGTATTTATATCATTTTTTACCTCTAATACAGCACTATGTCCAACTGTCTTTGGGTGCGTGCACGGTATCCGGTGCGTGAGGTGTGTACGTGCTCTGGCGTAGTTTACGTAAGCGCCGGAAGTGATCTCTCGCGCGTATACGTCACTCATTGTTTACACAGTGCACAGTCATTGTAGGTACGACGGCTAATCAAAATGGTACTTACTTGCGCTTATCCGGATTGTTCAAACCGACTTAAAACTAAAAGATTACGTTCTCTTGCGCGAACTCATTCGGGAGTGGTGACTTTCCACGTATTCCCAACTTCTGAGCCTGCTCGCCTGAAGTTATGGTTGATTGCTCTTCGGCTGGATATCAACACACCCATTAACGTAAACTACGCCAGAGCGCGTACACACACCTCGCGCATCGGATGCCGTGCACGTGCTCAAAGCAGTTGGACATAGTGGTGTATTAGAGATAAAATATGATATAAATACTGTTCGGTTTCTCGCACAAACTGAACGTTTCGTGTCTTAGGACATCAATGTGTCGTCACGAGCCGCAGGGTTTAATTTGGATTTGTCTGTGAATGTTTTTTTTACTCTCATAGATTTTGTTACCATTGCCATGCATTATATGACTGATAGACTGCAACGGCTGGACTTAAAAATCTTGGATGCCCTGGGGGTAAGCAGATAAACATCACATTTTCATGTTTGGGTGAACCATCCCTTTAAATAAATGTATTACAGGGGCTAAAGTTTTGGGTAGGGAACAAGCTCAAAATAAAAAAAAATCTAGCTACTTGATAATTAAAAAAGTAAATAAAGAGATGCAATACAATTGAAAAGCTGTCATAATATACACTTTAAAATATAACATTCATAAAACATAAACAGTGAAAAAAGTAAAGTTTGACGGATTAGTCGACTGGCCAATGATGCGAGGCCTCTAGCAGCACGTGACAGAGGGGTGGATCACGTGTCAACGGAAGAAGGCGCTTTTGTTTTTCCTTGGGAAAAAAGTCGAGGAACAATGTTTGGAAAGGAGATTTTTAGTTATATTCTATTTTTCTCTCAAGTGTAAACAAACAATTTTATATAGGACATGAAATCTTTCGGAATACCTAAACTATATTTCCGCGTCTTGAAGCTTGTTTGACGCTCCGTTTGGGAATTCTTGAAGCTGCAGAGATTGCAAGGCGGAAGAAGAAGAAGGGAATTTCGAAGGGACGAACTGAGAGAGCCAAGTGATGGCTCCGGATTGATTTCACCAGAGCCTTGCAGTGTTTTTCAACTTTATTCGAATGCATATAAAATCTTGTGTATATTTTAAAACACAGATTAGTCTCTGTGTCTCATTAATGTCATAATTTAGACTGATCATTTGCGCTCAAGAAGCTCAAAATGGCGGAGGGCTGGCCCATCCCCCAGGCCCTGTTCCTGCTCATAGTGAGTGTCGCGGGCCTGGACACTTGCCCTTCTCCCTGTACGTGTTCTGGTGGTCCAGGTGCAGCACAATTGCTGGATTGCAATAGGAAGAGACTGACTGCTGCAGCTCTGGAAGCTCCAGCCTGGATCACCCATGCGTGAGTAATAGAGAAGATGTTTACATGCTCTGGTGATCAGCCTCCAGCTCTTTGCAGGTTCTGCACATGTGCACAATACTGACGCACAACTGCCAGCTGATTAGTTCACATTTGTTAGTTTGGTGCAATTCTAGTTACTATATATGAAATGTTTTGTTTTGGCATTACCTTGACATGTCAAATGATTCCTTGTAGAAATAAAAAAATGTTCCTCTAAAATAGCGTAATATTTATTTATTTATACTGTAAATTGTTTTTTAGTAACTAGAAAGTATCTTGCACTGATTGGAGCAGAGGCATCACCGTCCCTCTACAGCCTACTGTTTGATACATGAATTTCTAAGGTCTCTAAATTACCAACATGATCAAAACTCTTCCACTTGCCTTCTGCTCTCTCATTGATGAACATTAATTTTTTAGTAAGTCAAAGACCTTTTAGTATATTTCTAAAATGTACAGCAATGTTGTGGTGCAGCGGTGTTTTTTTCCCTGTGAAATCTTTTAAAGTTAACGTATGAATGACTTTATGTTCTATACTATTTCTAGTTTAGTAACTTTGTTGTTTTTAAATCTGTTTTTAAATATACAGTAGTGTGAGTACAAATGATAGACTTGACACTTGCTCCTCCAGTCTTAAAAATTGGGTTATGCACTTGCTACCATTTTTTTTTTTTGTAAGTGAGTGCAACTAGATAAGCCTTTTGCTATTCCTTTAGTCATTTTCCTCAGTTTTTGGGTTTATAATAGACTGTATTGGTCTGTAAAGTTGTTTCTTTTTTGAGACTTCTTTTTCAGGTTTTAATACATTTTCTCTGTGAATTTAGGTCTATGAATCAGAATGAACTTACAGCGGTGCCTTTTCTTGGAGATGTCTCATCCAACATCACAGTGCTGTCACTGTAAGTTTCCCTCTGCGTTTCATTCTTTTTCAGGCTTCACTGCTGCTTATAGCTGGTGAAATTGCTCCAGTTGCTTATGTAGTGTTACGTAGTTGACTGAAGTGTTCATGTGGATTACATGATTGTTTACTATTTTACTTTTCATTAAGAGTAAATCATGTATGTTGATATGGTACTATAACGATCTGCTGTTCATTTTCAGTGTTCATAACCGAATCTCTGAAGTCGTGGCGGAGCAGCTGTTGCCATATTCATCTCTGGAAAGTCTAGATTTGAGCTCTAATTCTATATCTGAGCTTAAGGCCGGATCATTCCCTCCCACGCAGCTGAAATATCTGTGAGTTTTTGTACTCAGGCATGTCTGAATTGTGCACTTTCATAAGACTGTTCAAATTCTAGGTAGATTAAGAGAGATTTCTGAAGAAGTTATACTTTTCCCTTGAGTTAAATATCAATTGTTGCTTTGCTCTTTTTGTCATTGAATAATGGATGTTTTTCTTGGTGTTTCTGATTACTTTTGGGGCTCATGGATATTTGTCTGTTTCCTCTCTCCATCACGACAGCAACCTGAGCAAAAACAAGATAAGTTCCTTGGAGCCCGGTTGTTTCGGAAACATCAGCTCCCTTCTGGTGTTGAAGATAAACCAGAACAGACTCTCTGTGCTGCCTGATAAAGTCTTCACCCTCTCTCAGCTCCAAGTCTTGTGCGTATTCATGGCTAATGAATAGGATGTTATTGCAGTGCTCAATTAGATTGTGTCTGACAGGATTACTGCGTGCTAAATGCACCTGATATTATCAAGTGGGGAGTTAATTTCCCTTGTTGTCTTGTCTCTCTCTGGTGGTTAGGACAGTAGTTTGGATTTTCTCATTGTAATGTGCCCCTCTTCATGTTTTGTCACTTTTCAGAGAGTTGAGGCGCAACAGGATTCGTGTTGTGGAAAGTCTCATTTTCAAAGAACTAAAGGCTCTTAAATCATTAAAGATGCAGCGCAACGGCATCACAAAGCTGATGGATGGAGCTCTCTTTGGTTTGGAAAACATGGAGGAACTGTGAGTCAATGCTTCCAGTGTTAAATAGGAAATATATGTAGCTAAAAATTGCTGTTTTCCAAAAACAAAAAAACATTTTAATTATTTTAAAGACATTTTTACAATAATTTACTGCTTGCATTAAGCAATGTGGCAAAAATGTGTGAAGTGGTGGTTCCTCTGGGGGAGAAAATCATCTTAGAGCAAAAATGTATAATTTAAGTTTCTATTTCACATGAATCAAAGTAGTGATTTATGGCTGACGTGTGCTCTGTTCTCTGCCAGAGAGTTGGAGTATAATAATCTGACAGAGCTGAATAAGGGCTGGTTGTATGGCCTGCACATGCTCAGGATTCTGCAGGTAAATCAGAACAATATTGGACTCATCCGAGCCGATGCCTGGGAGTTTTGCCATCGCCTGGAGGAGCTGTGAGTGACTTCGGCCCTGACCTTAACGTTTAATCCTATATACAATACTGAAATTTTTCGTTTTTTTCTAGAAATGGATGATCTGTCTTTGTTTTTTTTTTCTTGAGGTGTTTGATGAGGTGTATTTGATTGTTAGCTCTCAGGTAATGCGTATGTGTGTGTTTTGATTCCAGGGATTTGTCCTTCAATCACTTGAGTCGTCTGGAGGATTGGGTGTTTTCTGGTCTCAGTCTCCTGCAGAGTCTCAACTTGGGTGACAATCAAGTCTCACACCTGGGAGAAGGAGTGTTCAGCAGCCTGGCTAATGTCCGCACATTGTAAGATAATCAACATTTCCCTTCTGTCTCTCATTTTATGCAGATAATTTTTTTGGTAGCACTATATAAAAAGCCTTAAGCTTATGTATAAAATGCATTAAAGATTTTTTTCTGCTGTGCCAGTCAGGACAGTAATTCAGAATTTAACTTGCCCTGCCAATATTTTCACTCATACCACTATAAAATAAATAAATAAATAAATAAATATATACAGTATTTCACAATAAAATTATAAATATTACATGTTTCTTAAGTTGCAGTAATAGGTGGAAGTATTAGAGTTATAGCAAGTAATAGTTATTAGTTAGTTAACAGTTTTGCTGGTAAATGATGGCATACGGTACTGATTTTTCTGTATTTTTTTTCTTATTTTCAAACATGCCTGTATTTGCGCTCAGTTAAAGAACACGTGTGTTTGTGTTACCAAATGATCTTGATGAAAATAGAAGTAGCACTGAGCTCTATCTCTGTAAAATAAAAAGAGCCCCTAATTGCAAACAGATATAGTCTATCCCTGTAGTTTAAGCCCTATATGAATCCTTCCTAGTTTAGTTTCATTTCAGCTTACCCCAACTGAAAAAGAGCACATTCAAACATGCCCACTTCTCATAACCTCCGCCACGTCCCTTTGGCACAGTTGTAAAAGGGATTTCAGCCTTTTACAGTCAGCAGTGTGTGAAAACAAGCTCAAAATACTCCCACATACCAGCCTGTCCATACAATACCTTCTATTATACATGAAAAGCATACAATGGCGCTGAGCTGCCTAGAGCCCTAAAACTAGGGATGTAACGATTCACTCAACTCACGATTCGATTCACGATTTTGATTTCACGATTCGATTCGATTCACGATTATTACTATTTTTTTAACAAAATTAGACTATTTGAATCGATTTTCAGCCGGCTCGCAGTTAATCGTTACATCCCTACCTAAAACTCAAGTCTCTGTAGATGTACAATCACCCAAATAAACCAGCTCTTGACATTTTAGATTAATAACAGAAAGCATGTTCTACACAGCGGCAGTTTGAAAATATTCTGATGGGTCTCTTTTGATGTTTGTTCGTTCCAGGGACATCCGTAATAATGAGATATCTCTTGCCATCGAGGACTTCGTTGGCATGTTTGTGGGTTTGAAGAGGCTGAATTCGCTGTAAGTTTGTTGATGGATACGAGCTGTTTGATCTGACTCAGAGATGTAAAGTGTGGCTTGACATGCGCATATGTGTGTGTTTTCCAGAGTTTTACAGAATAATAAAATCAGGACCATCACTAAGAGAGCGTTCGAGGGTCTGATGGAGCTGGAGCATTTGTGAGTCTCTCTTTTAGCCTTATATCTCTATTATAACTCAGAAAATGACTTTATTCCGCATTATAAACTTTCACAACCTGTTTGTTTTGTAGTCAAGGACAGGAACAGACTTCCATAAAAATATAGAAATTAGGGATGTCAGCGATTAATCGATGATCGATTAATTGTCGATAATTTTGAGTAACTTTTGCACATCCTGTCATGCCGGGCTGCATTTTGCAGCATTAAGGTTAACGATTAATCGATTAATTGATCGTTAATTTAAACGATGATCGATCATGGAAATCTAATAGAAATAAAATAATAATATCTGGAAGAGTTTTTATATTACTCCACCCAGTAAAAATGAGACATGAAGTTTTCAAAATACTGAGGGTTTATGAGATATGAAGTCATATCACAACATTCAAAGCAACAGATCTTTTGTTCCGTATTCTTCTGTAAGAAATAAATTCACAATTGCGAGATAAAGTTTTTTTTTTTTAACTCTTAGGCAGAAATAGGCTTCCATAGTTCCACCTAAGAGCTAAATGTTTACTTGATTCAAGTGAAATTGAGCATCAAAACTATAAAATACAACAGAAAAAACTCCTGTTTTAAACCCTTTTTAACTCTGACTCTATGAAATACTCTAGGTTATAGATTCATAGATTTATAAGGTTATGCTGTTATATTGTTCTTATTTGTATTTGTGTAAAGACAATATGACTACAGTAAAATCCAGTCCATTCCATTATTCAGCACACACAAAGAGTTTTTGCTTTATGTTTTTCCGTTATAAATAATCTTTTTGAATTTGTTCTGCAGGGACCTGAGTAAGAATGGCATCATGTCTATTCATCCTGATGCTTTCACTCATTTAAAACTTAAAACACTGTAAGTCATTCTTTACTTTCTACAGACTGTATGTATTTCATGTATTTTCTGTATCTTTGCATTTTACATAATATATGTTTGTTGCATCTTTGTCTGTACAGACAGTGTTTGTATATTAGAATAGTGTAGTTCAGGTGTATTCTCAATAATGCTTGTATTGTTGTCTTCCTCAGTGATTTGAACACCAGCAGCCTTCTGTGTGACTGTCAGCTGCAGTGGTTGGGCCAGTGGTTGATTGACAGTCAGTTCCAGCAATCCTGCACTGCCGTCTGTGCTTATCCTGCCTTCCTGGCAGGATCTAGTGTGCTTGCTATTAAACCCGAGGATTTTGTCTGCAGTGAGTGACCTTACAGTAACAAAATGTCCAAGGCGACCTTCTCTGTTTTGTGTCTTGTGCTAATAAAAAAGCAATTTTATGAAACTTTAAATCTAAGCTCTTTCTTGCAATGAGATCTCTTTATTGTCTCACTCACAGATGACTTCCCTAAATCCCAGATCAGTGCTCATCCCAAGACCGCCGTGGCCTTGCGCAGGACCAACGTCACTCTGAACTGTTCTGCGTTCAGTAGCAGTGATTCTCCTATGAGCACCACCTGGCGCAAAGACGGAGAGGTGCTGTATGAAGCTCAGGTGCAGAACTACGCTCGGTACCAGGATCACCGCCTCCTCTACACCACCGTACTCCACCTGCTCAATGTCAATTTCACAGATGAGGGCCAGTACCAGTGTGTGGTCTCCAACCATTTTGGGTCCAACTACTCCACTCTGGCCAAGCTCACTGTTAATGGTTAGTGCTTCATCAAAATTGATTGTTACATTATGTTACATAAACAGATTTCGTCATAGATCTTATTCAAAAAATGTTTTCTATAAGGCAAAAGCGTATTTTTTGGAGATTAGTGCAATTAGATGGATGATCTGTTGACAGAAAAAAAAAACATAGCAGTTATAGTTGATTCATCCTTTGTTTGTGAATTGGAAATACAATTTAATGAGCACTCTCTAATGTCTATGGAAGCATATTATTAATAGTTCATATTTTAGCATGTTTTAGTTGTGCAAGTCTTCATACCCAGAAGTGATCTTTCGCTGACCTCATTGAGCGATTTTGATGTAGTTACAGAATTCAGAGTGTTTGCTGGTGTCAGATTGTTCATTTGAAGTGTCGATTATGTGATCATCTGCAAGAATTTTGGATTGGCGTATTGCTAAAGCGCTATGATCTCTCCAATGCTTTGATAAGCAGTTTGCCATTTGTTTTTTCCTTCCCCTTATTTACCCTCATTTCTCCATGGTTGTTTTCAGAGCTCTGTCAGTTTAATCTTCCTTGTCTGTTGAACAAACATAGCAGCCCTCTGGGATGCCAACCTCAGCAATTTAATTATTCTGTTTATATCAGTTCATGATACTGATGGAGGAGCGGATTTGTAACCTAATAATAGAATATAACAATAACAGAAACTTGATTCACAAAGCAAACACTGTAAGTGCACATGTTGCTGTTTAGGGTTTGATTGGCCAATGGGTTGTTTGTTTTTGTACTAGCCATTTAATCAGAGAATGAATTCGGTTGTCACATTTCATAAGTAGAAAATGATGTTAATATTAGTGTTATATAACATTAGCATTTTATGCTTTTGTTTAGGCAGTTTTCTTACATAAATTAAAGGGTTTAATAACTATTGTACAAGGTAGAATAAGATGAATGGTACCATAAAAAAATACTTATTTTATTATTTAATATTATATTATTTAAATGTTATTAAAATGTAAATATTTGTTTATTTTACAGTTTATTTTAGTTATTAAAATAAACAATTTTTAAAAAGCACTTTAATTGTGATAAGGTTTAGGTCACATTTCTATTTACAGTTTTTAAATTTTTTTTAAACCCAGACCACTTGATGAATGGATAATAAATACTAATATTAATAGAAGTAATGTTAGGCAAACTAATTTGCCTATTTTGAAAACAAATCCTTACAAGGTAATAAAATAAAAAAGAATAGCAAATATTTAGGCCTAAGTGGGCGGAGATAAAATCTTTGTCATTATTTTATCTTTAAATATAAAAAAATAAGAACAAAGATACCATTACAAACACACATAATATACAAATAAAACAAACAGTTCTTTATTTTTCAGGTACAGTAGGTGTATTTAGCAGCAGCATTCAAGCAATTGAATGAACAAATACAAAAATAAAACCCTATATGTACTTCACTGTATAAATTATACATTTATTCTTATTAAAGCAACTGCATTAAAGTTCTTCAGTCAAGAGCATTGAGTGATTTTTCTCTTTGTGTTTTGTTTTATTAACATTAAAGGGATAGTTCACCCAAAAATTAAAATTCTGTCATTATTTACTCACTCATGTTGTCCCAAACCTGTATTAATTTCTTTCTTGTGCTGAACACAAAAGAAGATATTTTGAAGAATGTGGGTAACCAAACAGTTGCTGGTCTCCAGTGACTTGCATAGTATTTATTTTTATTTTTTTTACTATCAAAGTCAATGGGGACCAGCAACTGTTTGGTTACCTACATTCTTCAAATGATCTTCTTTTATATCTTCTTTTGGCATATTTAAATGCCAAAATGTCAATTCTGTTGTAGCATTACAAGTAGAGAATTGTAAATAATAAATGTTATGTGTATTGTATTATATTTATTACATTTATGGTACCATATTCATATACCATGGTATGTATGTTGTACTCCATTGTACTTTTAGAATAATTACTATAATAGTGGAATTACTATTGTACATGAAAGAAAGTCTGGATTTTTCAGGCCTTTCTGGAATTACCTGTGTAAAGCAGTGAAAATATGAATGAATTAATTTTTTCCAGAGCTCCCCACCTTCCTGAAGACACCCATGGACCTGACCATCCGCACCGGTACGGTCGCGAGGTTGGAGTGTGCTGCAGAGGGACACCCGACACCACAGATTGCCTGGCAGAAAGACGGCGGTATCAATTTCCCTGCCGCCCGTGAAAGAAGGATGCATGTCATGCCAGACGATGACACTTTTTTCATTGCTAATGTGAAGACACATGATATGGGCGTTTATAGCTGTACGGCCAAAAACGAGGCGGGCAGCCTGTCAGCCAATGCCACTCTTACTGTGCTAGGTATAGTTTTTTACTACGGTCTAATGGCCAAAATTTTCTTTTGAATTATTTACATTTGATAGTTGTTTAAAAATGAATTGCCTCTGGTCTGTTTGACAGAAACCCCATCCTTCCAGCGCCCTCTAGAGGACCGTAACGTTGCCCGAGGTGAGACTGCTGTCCTCCAGTGCATAGCACGTGGTAGTCCTGCCCCCCGTCTCAATTGGACCAAAGACGACGCTCCATTGGTGCTGACGGAACGCCACTTCTTCGCCGCAGCCAATCAGCTCCTCATAATCGTAGATGCCAGCCCTGCTGATGCAGGGAAATACATGTGCATCATGTCCAACACGCTCGGCACAGAGCGTGGTCATATCTACCTCAGCGTCTCACCCTCGGCCAACTGTGACCCGGTGACCAGCATATACAGTCAGGACGGATGGACAACAGTTGGCATTGTAGTGATGGTGGTCGTCTGCTGCGTTGTTGGCACCTCGCTTGTGTGGGTCATGGTAATTTATCACATGAGGAGAAAGAGTGAAGACTACAGCATAACAAACACAGGTCAGTGCACAATTTTGCTTGTATTAGTTTAATTAAAATGAAAAATAGTATAAACTACATAAAATAATACATTTGTTTTTGATTGTTATATAATGTCTAGTTAATAGACAATATTAATAGAAAATAATGTTTTGTAGTAGGGCTTTTATGAAATTTTGGTAATTTTCTTTCCCCCTTTTTTAGAATGGCAATATATGATTGGATTTTAAAGTACACCATAGTTGCAGTTTTCTCAAATAATCACAATTAGGAAATTATGCTTTTAAAGTAATGCAACACTATTTAACATATAACTTTTCATAAACGGTAACGATGTAGTACAATTAGTTACATTTTAAAGTATTATATAAGAAATTGTGTTTGTTTTTACTTTTTTATTATTTTTTTATAAACCTATAAAATAATTTGGTGTTTAACAAAAATTGCAGAGTAGATTAACATAAATACTATCTTTATAAAATATAATATATTTTATTTTAAATGAATTATATTTGAATGAAATATAATGTAATTTAAATAAATGCTATTTACTAGGATTTTTTTTTTTTTTTTTATATTTAAAATATTCCTCTTTTTGGTCCTCTTTAATTATGATACGGTTTAAGTGGTCTTTTAACCCAGACTGCTTCAATATAGTATTATAGTAATAAATATGAATATTATCCATAATAATATTTTTCCATCAAAATTCCCTTTTTTGAATACCAGTATATGATTTTAAACTACACGGTGATTGTAGTTATATTATATTATGTAAAAAATGCAACAGCCCTACCTAGTATTTAAAATAGCCATTCTAACGGTTTGAGCATGGATCAATAATGAAATAATTTGAAAACTATGCACACAAATGACATGAATTTTAATGTATAAATCTCTTTGTTGGTGTATTCCAGATGAGATGAACCTACCAGCAGACATTCCCAGTTACCTCTCATCTCAGGGTACGCTGTCAGAGCCTCAGGAGGGCTACAGTAACTCAGAGAATGGAAGCCACCAGCAGCTTATGCCATCTCATGCTAACGGTTACGTCCACAAAGGCACCGACGGTATTGTCACCGTGTTCCTCTAGCGCAGGGGTGCCCAAGCTCAGTCCTGGAGGGCCGGTGTCCCGCAGAGTTTAGCTCCAACTCCAATTAAACACACCTGAACCAGCTAATCAAGCTCTTACTAGGCATACTAGAAACTTCCCGGCAGGTGTGTTGAGGCAAGTTGGAGCTAAACTCTGCAGGACACCGGCCCTCCAGGACCGAGTTTGGACACCCCTGCTCTAGTGAGAACGTTTATTCAGAAAGGCTATAAATATGACAAGTCGTGTAGTTTGGATGTATAATGCTGTCATGTTGTGATGTGTTTCAACAGGAGTGTGTTACGGTGAAGTGAGCAGTGATGTTGATCCAGATGCTAATGGAATGCTGGGTAGTCGTGTGGGCTCTTTCTTTGCTGAACGTAGCAGCTTCCACCGGAGTGAACCCAGAGAGGGACAGGCAAATGTCCCTAATGGTAATGTTAAGTTTTAAATTTATCCCATACATTTATATTATTTAATTTGCTTAAAAAGGAATATTCTGTCATTTACTCGCCCTCATGTCATTCATTGCAAAGTGGGCTGTTTGTCTCACCAGTTGACCTCATTGATCGGCTAATGGGTTGTTGGATGACTAGTCGACCATCTTGACCTTCATTTGTGTTTTTTTTTTTTTTAGGTGGGCCAGGCCCTCTAGTCATCTGCTCAGACTGCTACGACAACGCCAACATCTACTCGCGCACGCGTGAGTACTGTCCATACGCCTACCTGACAGAGGACGACCCACTTGTGTCTCAGATCTCTCGGGATGGACACCAGAGCAGCCATCAAGAGCGGGATCAGCACGCAGACACGGTACTGGAGAGTTTTATAAGTCAGCAGAATGCCTCTGTGTTCCTCACCAACCATGAACCACGACTACCAGCGTCACAACACTATAGCACTGGTGAGATGAACCACATATTCTTATGTACCTCATTTCAGTCTAATTTCCTATTAATATTCTTTTCACCATTGCTTTATTAAATTCAGTGATCTGCTCACCTAGTCGACCTTTTTAGGAGTTATTCTAATAAGTTAAAATTAAGATACTTTGTGTTATAAGATGTTTTGTCCCAAATCTAGTATCATTTGTGCATGAGGCAATTCCAGAATGCAGTGTGACAAGCTAAATCAGAAAATGCCATCCTAGATCGCAGGCAGTGTTAAGAAAAATGTCCATTTTAAATGTAAATATTTCATTCATATTTAAATGTATATATTTTCTATAATATTGTATAATTTGTATATACAAATATTAATTAAATATATTTAGATTTTAAATTGATAAAGTTTGTGGTCAGTAAGATGTTTTTGAAAACCCTTATTCTCACCAAGGCTGCATTTATTTGATAAAAAAAATAATATTATATATATTAAGTAATATTGTGAAATATTGTTACAATTTATATAATTTATTACTGTGATAGCAAAATTGAATTTTCAGCAGTTATTACTCTAGTTTTCAGTATCCCATGATCCTTTAGAATTAATTCTCATATGCATTCTAATATGGCACTGAAAAAACTGCTTAATATTTTTGTAGAAACAGATCTTTTTAGGATTCTTTAAATAGAAATTTCAAAAGAACAATTTTTTGTAACAATAGTGGGGGGGGGGGTTGTCATGTGACACAGCAGCCACAATAGCACTCATGTTTTATTTATTTTCCTTTTTATTCGAAACATTACAAAACACATTAACTATATCATGAAATATCTCGATTCTCACCTTTATAGATAATGTTAGTTGATCTATAGTGGGCGATGGTCAAAGTAGCCTAATAATGTAGTCTATTAACTATACATAAAAACCTGTGTTTATTTAAGTAACAGATATGGGTGTCATGCCATAGCCTAAAATATTTTTAATACGACTGACTTTAACAGTCAAGATGGCGCCGAGCATGGCAGCCGTGTTGTGTGGAGCACGCTCCCAAGAATTTCACTCACCAAGGCACATGTGCTGTGGTGATGTGACAATAAAAGTGACTTTGACTTTGATTTGCATAATAATGAACATTCTGTCATTTACTCACCCACATGTGATTGCAAAGTGGGCTGTTTTTCTCACCAGTTGACCTTATTAATCAGCTAATGGGTTGATTTTTGTTTGTGTTTTTAGGTGGACCAGGCCCTCTGGTCATCTGCTCAGATTGCTACGACAACGCCAACATCTACTCGCGCACGCGTGAGTACTGTCCATACGCCTACCTGACAGAGGACGACCCACTTGTGTCTCAGATCTCTCGGGATGGACACCAGAGCAGCCATCAAGAGCGGGATCAGCACGCAGACACGGTACTGGAGAGTTTTATAAGTCAGCAGAATGCCTCTGTGTTCCTCACCAACCATGAACCACGACTACCAGCGTCACAACACTATAGCACTGGTGAGATGAACCACATATTCTTATGTACCTCATTTCAGTCTAATTTCCTATTAATATTCTTTTCACCATTGCTTTATTAAATTCAGTGATCTGCTCACCTAGTCGACCTTTTTAGGAGTTATTCTAATAAGTTAAAATTAAGATACTTTGTGTTATAAGATGTTTTGTCCCAAATCTAGTATCATTTGTGCATGAGGCAATTCCAGAATGCAGTGTGACAAGCTAAATCAGAAAATGCCATCCTAGATCGCAGGCAGTGTTAAGAAAAATGTCCATTTTAAATGTAAATATTTCATTCATATTTAAATGTATATATTTTCTATAATATTGTATAATTTGTATATACAAATATTAATTAAATATATTTAGATTTTAAATTGATAAAGTTTGTGGTCAGTAAGATGTTTTTGAAAACCCTTATTCTCACCAAGGCTGCATTTATTTGATAAAAAAAATAATATTATATATATTAAGTAATATTGTGAAATATTGTTACAATTTATATAATTTATTACTGTGATAGCAAAATTGAATTTTCAGCAGTTATTACTCTAGTTTTCAGTATCCCATGATCCTTTAGAATTAATTCTCATATGCATTCTAATATGGCACTGAAAAAACTGCTTAATATTTTTGTAGAAACAGATCTTTTTAGGATTCTTTAAATAGAAATTTCAAAAGAACAATTTTTTGTAACAATGTAAAAAGTCACATTTAATGCATCATTACTGAATAAAAGTGGTTATTTAAAAAAAATAAAATAAAAAAAGTCACGCTGACCCTAAACATTTAAATGGTATTGTACATGTTTGTAGTTATGATCAGTGCTCAAGTATTTCTTTGGCTGGAAATTAATCTTTGCAATCTCTATACAAGTATTTATGAAAATACTTCTTTGGTCTTCATGGATTATCGGAAAAGTTGCAGAGAAATCAGAAATTCATTGGTCAGAAAATGTGGGAACCCTGTAGAATCTGTTGTGGTTTTAAACATTTTTTCTATCTGCTTCACATAATGAACACTAGTTGTGTGGCATGCATGAGTGAGTATTAACATGTTTGCTCGTCATGAAGAGTGTGTCAAAGTAGATTTTTGCTAATTTTACTTGCCTATGTATACGGTAAACAGAGAGAGTCCGCTCAGTAGGGTTTGGAACTGATCTAGTGCATGCACTTATTTCACGGTCTCTATTTTTCTTGTCTCAGATGTCCCAGGCAGGTCATTTTGGGAAGGGGAAGAAACCCACTCTTCTATCCTCACCCAGGGCTCAGTGACTGTACACGAGCCCCCGATGGGTCTGTCCGCTGGGGACGGCCGAGAGGAGAGGAGGGGGGCACTGGAGGAAGGCTCATACAGGACTAACCCACAGGAAAGCGCCTCTGCGCCCACATAAATCCAGCCAGCCCTGTCTTCCCAACTCCTTTTGACCCTAAACATCACCACTTTGTCCTTCAGGCACCTCCCAGTGCCCTCAGCCCACTACCTCCTTTGAGAAGCCTCATTGTCTGCCAAATGAAATGCCTCTCTCTTCAATGTTTACACTGCCTCTCCTGTCCCTCCCCACCATCTTCCTTTGTAGCTCACTGGGATGTGCGTGTTTTGTGGAAAACTCTTTCAAACAAGAGACAGAATTCCTGCCTTCACCATTCCTCAGCTAACCGGACTGGTTTGAGCCCTGAATGTAACCATTTCCAAGAGCTCCACTAGTCCTACCGTAACATGTGACGTATGAATTATGCCATGTTTGGTTTTCCCGCCTACTTAAGAGTGTTGAACCTGTTTGCATATGCCAAAGCTTGACCCAGACTCCCCTATAACTTGCTTTTGCTCTGGTACAAAACCTGTACGAATACTGACTGTGAAGATTGGACTGCCAAAAGAGGGCAGTGATGTTCTCTGAGTGACGTCAGAGAGCCAATTACCTGTATTGCATTTCTTATTCCTATTGGCAAGCAGTATGGACTGATGACCAATAATATGTTAATAGAGTTGACGACGGCTCTGTTGTTTCCACTGTTATTGTGTGCCGGAGTTACTGTTATTTGTCATTAATAATGCTTTTTTTTTTTTGTGTAGTGCTTCTTACAAATCTAAACACATTCCTTAATTTCTCTTTCTGTTTTAAGGCACTATAACAGACAGTAAGAAAAACCGGATATGTTGCACCTTTAACAATCTGGCCGGGACAGCCTTATATGAATCATGATATGCTAATTTTTTTTTTACACTTCTTTCCCATATTAAGCTTAAGTATTGTTATTTTTGTGACAGAATATCCATTTTAATTGCACCCCCCCCCAATTTGCATTCTTGCAAATGCACATCTAGTAGAATTGCAAATTTATTTGATTGATCAGCATGACTGAGCACCAGTGGGGTGTGTTTGGGGCAGGGCCACATTCTGACTGACCAATAGGAGAGTGGGGGAGCATTTGAAATTTTTTGCAATTCCATTTGGTGCCCTAGTAGTGTAGAAATCACTCGGTTCACCTTTAAAATGTGTATATGCTGCATTTGAAATCCGTTGTTACTGCTGGATCAAACTGGTCTCGACTTATCGAGTTCTTTGCCTTTTTTGTTGTGAACCTCAGATAGGTGTTCAGATCATCGTCTTAATTTGAGGTTTGAGAATAATTTTGACAGTTAGGAATAGTCATGCCTAGTCATTTTTATTGTTTTGGCCTTAGAAGTACAGCTTGATTTAGAATTTTTTGCCTGTAAACGTTGTCTTAAGAGCCTGTGTCCAAAACCAAAGGCAGCTACCTAACTGTCTTGCTGCCCACTCATTCAACAGACACCTTTTCAGGAAACACATTTCAGTCCGACTTTCTGGGCACTGTAACATCACGTCTAATGATCTTGAACAAATTCAGAGATTAGCAAGGTCATATTTAATGACCACAGTTCTTATTTCTCAGTAGAAATTGGGAGGGGGTGGATTTAGTCACTCAAGTCAGTCCAAATGTATTTTTTAAACTTATGCCGAACTGCATATACAGGATCTTGGTGGACAGGATGTTATGCAACCATTTGATTCAAATACCTGCAGATGAGCATTTTTCAGGTTTCGGACACATCCACTACTTTGTTTTAAATGTGCTGTCACATTTACATTTATGTGGCAAAATTCCATGGGGAAAATGCAGTCGTGTCAATAGGAATCTGTGCGATCTGGAATTTGTGTTAGCCAAAACATTTGCCTGTGCAGATTTCGCATCAGATTTAAGTTTGTTGAACTTTGAACTCAAATTCACAGCGATTACCAAAATAAAGGTGTAGTCACATTTACCATTGCTCTGTGAAATTCTGCAGGTGAAATCAAGTCACTTCAATAGGAATCTGCGCAACTGAGAGTTGCATGTGAGGGCAAAAGTTCCCCATGCAGATTTAGCTCTTTTTCAAGTTTAAACTGCTTTGTTTAAAAGTGATGTTTGTGTGAGCCGTTCTTTATACATCGCTATGCTATTGATAATAGATATTGGACCTTTTTTTGCCTGCAAAATGTCACTGATATTTCGCTAATGTGACCACACCTTAAGGCTGCATATTTTAGAAGTGGCATCTGAGTAAAGAGAGCTTCATGAATTGCTATACTATTGATAATGGATAATAGACCTTCTTTGCCTGCAAAACTCTGCCAAAGTTTAACTAATTTGACTGCGCCGTAAGATTTGGATTCACTTCAATGCTTGATGATCCAAACCATGTGTGTGGATCCCTGATTAAATCTTGACCATTCTTTTTGTAAGAAAGCTCCACAACTAAATTTGCACTTTCTGAGCGTACAAAAGCTGGATCTTGCATTGCAGCAGATATCTATGGTCACTGTCTTTTAATAGAAAAGATTTATTTTCAACCACTTTCCAACTGTGATAACTACCCCGATTTGCATATTGATTTGTTGCATTTTGCACAATCTCTTGCCTTGCAGTTAGCTGTACAATTACACTAATCATAGACCTTAATGTCAAATGATGCGTCTGACACCTCGCTGCGTCAATTTCCCTTGTTGAAAGGAAAGGAGTGTCATCAGTGGCTTCCAGCCACGTTTAAAACCTCTTCATTTTTCAAATGACTGTTAATGCTTGCAGGAGATTAGCGCAAAGCAGTTTAAAAGTAATGTAAGTGAATAGTGGTTTTATTTTACTCTGAATTATATGGGACTTTGTTGGGATCTTTAGAAATGGACAAGTGTGATTTCACTTGGTTCTTTTTGATTTTTACCAAAGAAAATTCACATGGAACAAACATTCCTGCCTTCTGCAAACCAAAGTTTAGCTTCAGTGCTTTGACAATATTTAAATGCTGCTTTTTTATGTTTTGTTCATTTTTTGTGTATTATTTGTATGCTGTACCTGTACATTCTGTAAAGCATGTATAAAGAACATTGTTTCAGAAAATTCTGACATTTAACTGACATTTAAACAATAAAATGAATTCAGATGCATCACGAGTAAAGATGTACCCATGTTATTCAAATAAACTGTTATTAGTGGAGCTAGCTAAAGTAAAAAGGACTATTGCTACCGCTCCTATTTAGGGTTTTATTTTAACTCCATAAAGCCTACTGTATCATATTTGATATGCAAATTTCTAAAGTCTCCAAATTATCAACATGATCAAAACTTTGCTTAAAAAACCCATTGTGCACAAACTACTACATGGCATTTTCCCTCTGATTGATAGTCAACCTTCCAGTCGGTATATGTCTTTTTGTTGTGGAATCTAATGATTTTTGTAGAGTAAACAAAAATGCATTTTATTTTGTTAGTAATATTTCAAGATGAACACTTACTGGACTGAAGTGATTTGGGTTTACTTAAATATCCCTCATTTTGAGAAAAATCAAGTTAAAATGTATCAAATATGATACGTCAGGCTTTTAATAAACATATGTTCATCTTTCAATCATCATATGGCATTGCATTATATTTTGCCTCCACAATAAAACACACAGAGCTTCGATAATAAAACTAAGCATTTATCTTGCTAAGAAATATAATCGAGGTTATAAAGTGACAGTTGTTATTTATATGCATTTTATATAAAGACATTGATTTATATTACAAGCTATCAAAATTTCATCTTTTTTCCCTCCTTGATTGTGACCATATTCTATATTTGATATTCTATATCATATTACAGTATATCAGCCATAAAAGCCTGAAGTGTATATATATATATATATATATATATATATGCACATGGGTCAAAGACGAAAAAGGGATTAAGCATAAAAACAATAAGTTTAATACTGCTTTAAATTGTTGTTGTTTTCTCCCAAAAGATTACAAAATGTTCTGTTTAGTTTAATTGCAATTTTGTTTTTGTTTTTCTGAGCAAAAAAAGAAAAACCGGATATGTTGCACCTTTAACAATCTGGCCGGGACAGCCTTATATGAATCATGATATGCTAATTTTTTTTTTACACTTCTTTCCCATATTAAGCTTAAGTATTGTTATTTTTGTGACAGAATATCCATTTTAATTGCACCCCCCCCCAATTTGCATTCTTGCAAATGCACATCTAGTAGAATTGCAAATTTATTTGATTGATCAGCATGACTGAGCACCAGTGGGGTGTGTTTGGGGCAGGGCCACATTCTGACTGACCAATAGGAGAGTGGGGGAGCATTTGAAATTTTTTGCAATTCCATTTGGTGCCCTAGTAGTGTAGAAATCACTCGGTTCACCTTTAAAATGTGTATATGCTGCATTTGAAATCCGTTGTTACTGCTGGATCAAACTGGTCTCGACTTATCGAGTTCTTTGCCTTTTTTGTTGTGAACCTCAGATAGGTGTTCAGATCATCGTCTTAATTTGAGGTTTGAGAATAATTTTGACAGTTAGGAATAGTCATGCCTAGTCATTTTTATTGTTTTGGCCTTAGAAGTACAGCTTGATTTAGAATTTTTTGCCTGTAAACGTTGTCTTAAGAGCCTGTGTCCAAAACCAAAGGCAGCTACCTAACTGTCTTGCTGCCCACTCATTCAACAGACACCTTTTCAGGAAACACATTTCAGTCCGACTTTCTGGGCACTGTAACATCACGTCTAATGATCTTGAACAAATTCAGAGATTAGCAAGGTCATATTTAATGACCACAGTTCTTATTTCTCAGTAGAAATTGGGAGGGGGTGGATTTAGTCACTCAAGTCAGTCCAAATGTATTTTTTAAACTTATGCCGAACTGCATATACAGGATCTTGGTGGACAGGATGTTATGCAACCATTTGATTCAAATACCTGCAGATGAGCATTTTTCAGGTTTCGGACACATCCACTACTTTGTTTTAAATGTGCTGTCACATTTACATTTATGTGGCAAAATTCCATGGGGAAAATGCAGTCGTGTCAATAGGAATCTGTGCGATCTGGAATTTGTGTTAGCCAAAACATTTG